CTGGCATCTCTCAATTGTAACTCGCATCTGTTGGGTTCGTTGTATGACAGAATCGTAACGTTTGTCGCTGTTGCCGTTGTTGTGGGCAGCTGCACTGGTTGCTTGGCTTGACTTGGTTTTTGGCTTGGTTCCATCTGGTCGAACATAGAAAACGACACATATTGCAAAAGTAAAAGTTGACCATTTTGTCCAGTTGCGCCTTTAAAGTGCATGCCATCAGTCTGAATACACTTGCAAAATCCAACAAAAAATATTAACTCATTTAATTTAAATATAGGAACCAGAACTAGCTGAGCCAGAACTGAATGAGTCAAACTTTTAGATATGCAAATGATGCAACAATTTAAATTAATTGTACTAACATATAGGAACCAGAGCCTGAACTGGCTGAGCCCGAACTGAATGAACCAGACGCTGAGAAATGCAAAATATAACAACTGTATAAATTCATTTAGTTTGAATGGAACCAGAATCACTTGAGCCGCCATTAAATTAACCAAACATTTTTGATATGCAAAATGCACTTTTTTAAATTAACTTAATTAAATATAGGAACTACAAAAAAATGTACCAAACGTTTAAGCATGTAAAATTCAACAATAATATAATTTCGTCTAATGTCAGTTTGGGATTCAGAAGTAGCTGAGCCAGAACTAAATGAACTGGACGTTTAGGGTTGCAAAATGCAACAATAATTCATTCAATTTAAATATAGGAACTAAATCCAACTGAGTCAGAATTCATTGAACCAGACAATACTTTTCATGCAACAATGGTAAACATTTTTTTAATTTACAAGAAACCAGAACTAGTTTAACCGAACTTAATTAACTAGATATTTAGAAATGCATTATACAAAGATAATATAATTTAATTTATTTTAGAAGGAACCAGAACTAGCCTAACTAGAACTATATGAACCAGACATGCAAAACAGAAATGAAAGAATCTTGCTGCTGAGCTTGCAGTTCATTCTTAAGTACTCCATGTGAACTGGTACTTTATGAACAACAACTCATTCAATGAACCAGCTATTTACAATTAATTTTATATACGATTTCAATTCACATCATACCTAAACAATTGTATTTAAATAAAGCCTGTAAAAAGTACCTTTAATATAACCTCAATTAATTGTGAATTTTAAAGCCAATTTTAAAGTCTAATCCGATATCTCTTAATATAGGCCATGTTCAGATCAAGAACTATTTAACCTAGATCATTTTTTGTGAATAACGAAGACTAAGTGAACTAAAACTCGTTCAACTAGAAATAAACCTATATTAACGAACAATAATTACTTATATGACCATAACTAGCCATAACTATACTATTTAAATTATAAATGTATTATTTTCAATAAGGAACTAGTCGTAAATTGGAATCTATTTATATCGTGTTTGGCTTACAGAGTTAGTTCATGCAAAGAACCAGTTGATTGACTCAACTTATATCACCTAAAAAAAAAAAACAGATATGACCCAAAACTATGATGGGAAATAGAACTACAGGTTCGACCTATTACAATTAAAAAGCTATCAAATGTTTTGATTTAGCTATCGCTCATAAGCAGCGGAATGGATTTTATGTTGAATTTCAATCTTTTAAATAAATAAGGGCAATAAAGATCAAGTTCTGTAATGTTATTATCAGAATAAATTGGATAAATGGATATTTAAGTAATCAAAACTCAGAACCACTTTAGGGCAAAACGCGTTATTTAAATTAATTATCGAAATTCCACTTCCGATGTTCTATTTACCGATCTAACTAACTATGTTTATTCAAGGGGCTCACATTGTTTTGTTAAAAAATAAAACAATAAATATTGAAATTATTTCAAATGAAACAAAGAGATTCAAGTTTTTGGCATATCAGAAACCTTAAAGCAAACCTTTTGGCTAACTTGCTTTAAAGTTGTATCCATTAATTACAAATCAGATCAGATACAACTTGATGCCATTCATTTCATATTCAAACTGTGAACATCTTCCACTTCAAATGATAGCAGTCTGCTTTTTGGAAAGTTGTTTAATACGCCCCAACAAGGTCGCTACGAAAAAAAAATTAATATATCTATATCTATATATTCTTATTGTTTTTCCAGTTAGAAGTCTACTAATAGAATCTTTTTCAGCCAGACAATAGAAAATGCAAATCTATGTTTATATGCGCAATATACATACATAAAATCCGATATTTCAACAGGTTTACTTGATTTTTTATTTTTTGCAGTTTTTTTCTTTTTTAATTTATATTGCGTCAAGCGTTGGAGATATAATTATGCCAACAATTGCCAAATCGCAGCTATGCATCTCTGATATATAATCTTATTTGTGCGACCCATAAAGGCCTTTCACTTTTTTGCCGCACGCATTGCACACGATGCGGCACCACCCGCCACCCACTGCTGGCAACTCCCTCTGTGTCGACTCAACCGCCAATCAGCCGCTGTGGCAGCTTCAGCAGTTACTTACGCCTGTCTGCCTGGCATCCAGATACGCTTGCCGCATTGCATTGCAACATTGTGATTCAAATTAGAAACACGATCTCTCCCTCTTTCTTGGCTGCTTGCCACATGATTATGTGTTGCTGCTGCAGTTGCAGTTGTAGTTGCAGTTGCAGCAATTGCCACATACCACAACTTACAAGACTTCCCCAAAAGTGCGTGCCCTATCAAACATCACAGCTAACAGACCGCCCGCCCGCCCTTATCACATAGCCATCAAAAATGTCAAATTGCAGCTTCCGCTTCCAGTTTGCCCATGAAGCAAAGCTTAAAGCGCGTTGAGCTACACTTGCAGAAAATACTATGCACTATGAAAAGTAGTAGAAAGAACCTTTGCTTTACAAACTTATTCTAGAATATTAAAATGTTGGCATTCATCTTTAGAATATTTCTGAAGGTAATTAAAATTATTTATTTTATTTTATGCAAAAAAAAAAACTATTTATTTAGAGTTCAAAATAGTTGGGAATTATTATTAAAGGACTGTACAGCCTATTTTTATTTTTTTTCCTTTAAGGAACATTAATATGCCCAAATGCAAAATATTATTTAATATTTATGAAGGTTACTTTATACAGAAGCAAAAATTTGATAACCTTTAATTATGAAAATACAGATTTAATATCTTTATTGCTTGACCCGATCCACATAGTTAGGTTCCTGGAAAATTTTACTGTAAATGAACTTGCTTAACATTTTCCACTTTGAGTATTAATGTTCAGACTTCAAAGTACACTTTAAAGATATTTAGTAAGAGTTCATTAATGTAGGTTTGTTTGTTCAGAAGCATAAAAATGATTAACTTTAGAGACTGAAATTTTAATACTCTTATTACAGATCTTTATAAGAAAGAGCATAAATTGTCATAAAGAGAAATCTTATTTAAAATGTATGGTAAAACATTACAGGACCCTGACCATGAATATCCGAAAGAAAAAAAAGAGATTACCAGATATTTGTGAATTTGATATTACATTGAAAACTAGTAATATATTTACTAAAATAATACATATATAGGTTTTTTTTTAAGTATATCTATATTTAAATCCAAGGATACAAATTCTTTATAAAATGTCTATATACTCCATAGGTAATTTATTTAAGTGCAAGATAAAACATGATGATAAAGTCATAATAATGTGTAAATTTAGACATTGGCAATCTTTTCACAACTGTCAATGCGTTTGCCCATCGTCATTCATTATGCAATCGCATTCACTGTTTCCAATATCAAATTGTGTGATGAGATGTGTGGGAAATGGTCAGAAATTGATTAGAAAAAATTGCATAAAATACGGGTTCATTTAAATCATTTCATCATTTCATTTTTTTTGAGCAAAAAAAAAAAGGAAACGAGAAACAGCTCTTTAAATAATTTATAAGAATCAAATGATTTAATATAATTTATATAATACTCTAAATATAAAACAAGACGTTGTAGCAATAAATCTGCCCACAGTTATTTTTTAAATAGAGAAAACACAATATGATTTTTTATGCCAATTTTTTGGGTTTTTACCAACTCGAGTGCAGGCGCAAAGCAGGTTTGCAGCCAAAACAACATAGCAAAAAACCCATAAGAAGCTCATATAAAATTTGTTCAGAACCAAACCATTGACATTTCTTATAAGTATTTTTTTTTTTGTGTTTTGTTTATTGGCAAATAAAAGGCAGGCGAATAAAAAAATTCTAAACGAAATAAACTAATAAATAAGGAATTTCTTTGGAATTCCCCAGAATATATTATTTTGCTGGACGCAAAAGTAATTAATACTTGACGTAGACGCTTTTTAATGACTCGCAAGTTGATCAATTTTGAAAAATCTCGAAATTTTGGCCAATCGCCAAACCAAGACAAGCGCATCTGCATTGGTATTAGTGCGGCGCGTCTGTATTAGTGGGCGCTTCCGCTGCAAACTTTCCGAGCGCAACGCACACAACTGCACAAAGCTCACCAATACCAAGGCAACACGGCTGGCGCGAGCTTTTATTGCTGAAAGAGAGCGCCAAGCGTCTCTCACTTGGTGGAAAAAAGCTCTTTTTACGACGGACTTGGCGCTGGGAGCTTGACGGCGTTTTCAGTTTCGTTTTGACACAAAAACTCTTTGGGGGTATAAAAGTGCGCCACTGACCACAGACAGCATCCAGTCAAAGGTTTGGAATCGTGTGTGATTCTACAAATCCTTACAACATCATTTTCTGCGTTGCTCGTAAGTGTTGGCAAACGAACAAAGTTTTTTGTTTTTTATTAATTGTCGTGTAAAATGTTTAAGTTAAACGAAATCAACAACAATTTTTAAGTTTTTCAAAAAGTATTTCGAATTGTGTTTAAGTAAAAAAATAAAAAAAAATATATAAATAAATATTAAATATATATTTTAAGTAAACAGTGTTTAATTTTTATAATCTAATGTAAAAATGTAAAATATTAATATGCGAAAAATTCTCTATTATTTATTTACAGCCTTGGCAATTCCCAACAGACTTCACAATGAAAGTATTCGTAAGTAAACAATAACAATATCATATTTTCTATTAATTATGTGCAAATAATGTGGCTCTGAATTATAAAGTAAAGGAATTTATTAGTTCTTGATTTAAGTGTGTGAGAAATGCAGCATTGTTTATGATTAGAAAAATTAACAACTATTGAAGTCAACTCCCACATAGATTAAGTGCTTACAGATCATTATATTCATGCAATTTCTGAGCAGCTCGTCTTTATGGGTGCTTGACCGCCCCGTTCACTTCCTGTCCACAAATTACATAATGTTCATATGTTGGCCAACGTGAATAATATCATTCAATACACAAATGACAAACTTCAACTTGAATCAATACAAAATTGCCAATCAGCGACTCTCCATAAAATGATAAATGCACTTTAATTTAATTGCCAGACACATTTTGCTGTACACTGTAATCAAAATTGAGCCAACAAATAATCAATTATGAACGCTAAATACACTGTCCGACAAAGTCGCGTATGCGCATGCGTGACGTATGTTGCCCCCGTCGCATTTTGTCATGTCTGTGGGCGTGTGGGCGTGTGTGCGTCGGGGGGGCCTGCCTGGTTGTGCATCGCATTACGCATGCGTCGCACGCACGCGTTTCACCTGACCATTTGAAAGCGAAATGTTGTCGCCTCAATTTGTGGCCAAATGGGCGTCATATCTTGAATAGCATAACTTTCTAATCTGATTACCTAATTCAATTGCCGCTCATTGCATAACCTATTAAGTTAGGTGCTAAAACAAGTTGTGAATTACAAATGAATTTTGAATTTTTTATTGTTCTACCCTAGTTCTGCCTAGCCGCTTTGCTGGTGGCTACCGCCTGCGCCTCCGATGAGGTGCCATTGGAGAAGAAACTGGACAAACGCGGTCTGCTCGATCTGGGCTATGGATATGGTCATGCTGGTCTGGATGTTGGCCACATCGGTCACGGTTCCCTTGGTCACGGTGCCAGCTATGGCCTGAGCTCCTATGGACACTCTGCACCCGCCGCCATTGCCGTTGGACACAGCGGTGGTGGCATCTCTTATGGACACGGTGGTGGTGGCATCTCTTATGGCCACAGCGGACCAGCCGTTGCAGTACAAACGCATGCCGTGCCCGCTCCCTATGTGATCAGCAAACAGGCTGAGCTGCACAAGACCATCATTGTGACCAAGGGTGTGCCCGTGCCCGTGCATGTTGACCGCCCCTATCCAGTTGTGCATGAGAAGCGTGTGCCCGTTGAGGTTAAGGTGCCCGTGCCACAGCCCTACGAAGTCATCAAGAAGGTTGCCGTCCCCGTCAAGGAGTACGTGAAGGTGCCCGTCCCAGTGCCACAGCCCTACGAGGTTATCCGTCACGAGAAGGTGCCCATCCATGTGCCCGTCGATCGTCCAGTGCCCGTTGAGGTGCCCAAGCCCTACCCCGTGCCCGTCGAGAAGCCATACCCTGTCTACGTGGAGAAGATCCAGAAGGTGCCCGTGCATGTGCCAGTCGATCGCCCCTACCCCGTCTACGTGAAGGAGCCCCATTACTCGCACTCCGTTGTGAAGCACGCCCCCACCTATGCCGTCAGCAAATTCCCGATCACCGGCTACCCAATCAGCGGTGCGGGTCATGATGCCAGCGTTTACGCCGATCATTCTGGCTACCACAAGTAGAGCGGTTGCGGAATCTATTTGGGGCAACGCCAAGGACTTACCAGAATATGAGCCGAATCAAATTTAGCAACATTTTTTTAATTCTGTCCAACAAAAATTAAGAAAAACAAAACACTCTCACACGGTCTCTGCGCTCCCCTACATAATTTCCAAGAGGTTCTAGTAGAACTTCCACCCTGCCACTCTGTTAGATCTTAAGTTAAAAAAAAACAACCACCCCCAGGAAGAACAACAAAAGCCTTTTGTAAATTATTTCCCAACAACCATCAAATGGAGCATTGTTATGTATGAAATAATAGCTTAGGATAAATTCCAGCTAATTGTTTTTAAAAGAATTAACAAATTTTATAAACATTTTAGCTGCTGTTGTTTATCAGTGAAAGGTTTCAACGTACAATGAATGAAATATATATATGAAAAAAAATGATGTAAAAATGTTTTAAGAAATAAAATTGTATAAAATAATATAAACAGATTTTTATTTATTTAAATTATTTCCTATTTCTAGGAAACACACTCAACAATCATAATTTGTGTACACTTAACATAAAAAGAAAAATTATATTTAACAAAAAATAAATATAATAAAACCCTATATGTGACTACAAAATTATTCATACTATGTCTGCACATTAATGCAATTATTTACAAATGAAAACATATGATATTTGATATTTGATCTCACTACACATACCCAGAACTTGAAGACATTATTATCAACAGACATAAGTTGAGTGCATGAAAATCGCATAGAAGAGCGAAAAAAAGCATTCAGATGGAGAGACATGGTTATCATATGACATAACGTAACATAACGTTATTAAGCAAATAAATTTTAATATCAAATTATTTAAAAACAAAATAATTTATTGATTTAAAAATGTATTTTTATGTATACTTTTTGCTTGGATTTAGATCAATTTCGCAGAAGTTTCCACTGTGAAATAGTTATTTATATGGAACAAACAAAACAAAGTATGTCAAGCTCTTCTCTTCGCCTAAGCTGACATTAACGCATAATTAAATATTTATGTGCATTGATTGATAGATCATAAGCTATAAAGCGAATGACAAATGTCCTCTCATGCTTCCAACCAGCAAGTGGACAATTTAAAGTGACTTTTTCGAGCTGACCCAGTTTCGGGCTGCATGGCAGACGAGGAACTGCATGTCATTGGCATAAAAGGATGATATAGCGAGACGATCCATAAATGATAAAGACGCGTGTCACAGCGGATATCTTGATCGCCAGCGCGTAATGCGATTCATCCGACAGGTGCAAGGCCAGAGTTCCCGATTACAGCGCTGTGTCGGGTTCAACAAAAGGTCACGCGAGCAGAAGCGACTGCTCGAAACGCTCGTAAATTTAAATAACAAAAACCAGAGCAGACACATGTATATGTCATTTATGGCCGGGTTTTTCCTCGCTAAATACCAAAATTTCAACTTTCAAAAGCAACTGCAGCCAGGTTCTAAGAGAGCGAAAGGCATGCGCACAACTTTTAATTGACCATAAAAAACTCTAAACAAAAAATAAAATATAATATAAACAACAAATTGTTTGTTTGAATTTGATGAATTGAATCGTTTAAAACAATTTAGGGCTGTTTTGCATTTTCCACCTGGGTTTTTCAAACACACACACATCTATAGAAGATGGAACAGAGATCTTTAAGATATCCCGGATTGAATCCGGTTTAATTTTAATGGGCGGCATAAAAACAAAAAAGGCGCCTTTGTAAACGCGCTGAACATATATCAAACATCCATGGGTTGTTTAAGAGCTCATCTAATGTAGGGTCAAAGCCCCCGCAGCCAGCTCTTTGCATATGCTCAAGGACTTTGCTGACGGAACTAAAGCAAAACAACTTTCTAATAAAAAAGTCGACGCGTCGATTAAATTTCTGATTTAATTTTCTTTCGTTACGTTTCTTGTTTAACAAAAATACAACAACACAAAAAGACCTCATTTAGATAGATCGATCAAAGAGCTGCAAGAACCAGTTAGCAGCCACAAGAATTAATATCAGCTGAAGGTCATCGGCTTTACAGCTCGTATATGGGGGGCGTGGCATTTAACTTTGACTGTAGCCTGTTTGCGGTTGCACTTCTGAGCACCTAAGATTATTTGTGGGTATTATTTGTACACTTATTTTCCTACCATCATTTGTTACATGCTCTTGAGCTGTTGTCTCGTAGGTGTTTCCACTTGGAATTGTTTTTGGATTTGTCTATGCTTTTGGTTTGCGCAATTGCTATACAATTACCAATCGGATCATTTAATAAAAGTTAATTGCAATAAATAATTTTGTAGGGTTTAATTATAACAAATTAAATAGAACAAGAATGCAGCACGCTGTCATTAAATATGATTAAGAAACTGCACTAGACACAAAATACTTCAAAGACAGAGACAGTAATTTAATCAAAGTGGGTTACTTTGTTCATAGACCACAATTCTTTTCGTTGTTGCCAGACATTGAAGGTCTTTGAAATTCCTTGAAGTTTTGTGAGTTTTGAGGGGATCTCAGAACTATGATAAATATGCAAACTGAGTAAAATGAGTCTAAGACAAATATTAAATGACTATTATGAATATTAGTTCGACTTAAGCACGAGTACCTTTGAATATTGCCTTCTAAAGATTACATGTAATGCAATAACTAATGTTTCGAAGTTCGCCTTCCTGTCAATAGAGAAATACACATAATCTTATACACACTTACAATGAGTATTAATAAGTCATTTTATTTATTTGCATTTGGTAATATTAATACATAATAAGTATTATGAGTAATAAGTGCTTTACAATACGAGTAATCTTCTTTTGTTTTCTAAGTTCTCTTATGAGGACTTTCCGTTAATAGAGGAATATCCATTTTCTAAAATATATTTACGATGAGTATTTATAAGTATTCATTTACCCTAAATATGAAAACCATTATTTACATCCTTATGCTAATACAAACACATAAAGTTTTATGAGTTAAAAGTGCATACATATACGAGTAATTATCTTTAGATTATCACCCTATTTTAAAATAAATACATAATAAGTAATATGAGTATTCAGTTGTCTCAAGGACGAGTACTTTCGAGTATCGACCTGTTTGAGCAAAGAAAATCCAACTACCCACCGTAATACATACGTAAATGAGTTTTTTGAATATTTATTTGTCTTATGCACAAGTACTTTCGAGTATTGGCCAATTAATCAGCTTAACATCATTGAAACACATAAATTGCTCGTAATCCAACATAAATCAATTGCCGAAATTACATTGCAATGCAGACGCACATAGGAACTGTGCCTGATTTCTCTGCATGGATGGATTGTGGCATTTACGCAATAATATAGTTCGATAAGGCCACCCAAAACGCTGCGAAAGACAAGCAACAAATTGCGGCAATCGGTGGCCGCCAAGTTGAAGTTTTGCGGGGCAATTAAAGCAATAATTTTGCCATAAGCTGGAGGGGCGTGGGAGTTGGAGGCAGGGTAGGACGTACGCATATTTGTTGGAAGTTAATTAATTGCCACAAAATGACAGAGACGACGACGACGGCGACGGCGACGACGACAACAAGGCAAATGAAAAACTCGAAATGTAATTTTTCGCAATTTAAGTCGGTCTTTTGATATTGTATTTTGTACTTTGCTTTGTTTTGTTTCTTGTCTGAGAAAAAGCTCGGAAAGACGTTGCACATTTGGCAAGCGCGACTTTTGCTCTAATGAGCGCTGATCTAGACAGCGACTTTTGGAGGTCATCCGTCGCCGTCGCCATCGCCATCGCCATCGCCAAGCTGTCCATCCAATTGAAGCAAAATGTGTTAGTTGTTGTTTATTCAATTTTTTTTTTTTTTTAATATTGCGAAATGAGCTTGGCTACGTTTTTGGCCAAAAAATGCAACGACAAATGCAGCGTCAGTTGGCAGCCAAACAGACCAAAGCTACAAGTTGCACCAGTTTCCACTAAAGAAAAAAAAAAAACAAAATTAAACAACAAAAACTCGAACTGTAATCGAAATCAGCCTCCGCAAAAGCGTTTGCTGCAATTCCGTTGCCCACCTCCAAGTCAAGTGAAGCAGCAAGCGGCAGCAACTGTGGCAATCTGGAAATCCCTGCTTAGCGCCTCCCTAGCCCCCTCTCTGCAACATGTGTGTAGCGTCTTTGGGATTCTTTGCTTGCCCTGCATTTGGCTTTCTGCTTCGCTTGGCCAGCAACCAGCGCTGTTAACTGGGTTTTTTATATGGACGTAGTTTTTTTTTTATTTTTTACATTTTTTATGGAGCAATTGAAGTCATTGACATGACAAAATGCCACAAGAGTTGAACTCTGAAGAGCTTATAAAACGCATAATCTTATCTTACTACGTAATCATTGAAAATAAATATTGCAGTTTTTTTCAATTGAGTTTAAGATTCTGCCTCTTCGATTTTAGAGCTTAAATGGAATAAACCTAAATTGTATGTGAACAGTCTTACATTTTGAATACACTAAAAGAAAAAGTAAAGAGCATGTGCTTTTAGACAGAGCACAGAACAGGCTCAAGGGAATCGCTGAAGAATGGTATGTAGAGCAGAAGTTTAAACTTTTTTCAGACTATATATCAAAAGTATTAATATATTCAATATTAAACAATTAATATTATTATATTAATATATATATATATATATACCTATTGTTCTATTTACAATATGACAGAGTATATAAAAGATGCTATTTACTTTTTGCTGCTATCTACAATATCTTATATTATGTAATTATACCATTATAAATTATATTTTATAATTATTATTTTAAGTACATGATATTTATCTTCTTTTTTTTTTGATTATATTTTCTTGACGTACGCTAAAAAAAAACAAGAATTTAAATTTATTGCCTTTAAAATTAACACTATTAAAAAAAGTGTATAGTACATATGCTTTTGTTTACCGAATAAAGAAGAACTTAAGGTATAATATTTAGATATTCTTTCTTTAAATATATATGAATGATA